TCAAAGTCCCGTGGTGAGTCACTGGTGAGGTTTCCTAGACTCAAGAGGCTTGTAAAAGTCCAACCTGAGATTCCTTATCAGAAGTTCCAGCAAAGCAGACTTAAAAAGAGCCTATATGGCCAATCACTATTTTTGCTGCACCAACATAAATAATCAGGCCAAGTTTAATGAGACTAGATTTACTGTGCAAACAAATGTATCTATCTTTGACAGAAATGGGAGTGACTACAGAAACAAAAATGATATGTCAGTGGAAAACTATAGCACACCCCCGTGGGTATTAAATTCTAGTGCTGTTCATTGTCTTTAAGGTTTTTTTATATAGCTATAAGTTGGACTAAATCCTGAATCCATCTACTCTCCTCCAACATTTAGTTACAGCTCTCCAAACTAACATTTCCAATTTTTCTCCCACATTTCTGACTTAGAATCACTAAAAATTAAAACTGCCTCTTTCCCAAATCCCTGCAAGCTGAGGCTGGACAATTTGATATAAACTTCAGAGAAATCACCACAGCTCATGTGCAGACAACATTCATGCCATGTGTGGGGGCCACTCAGAAAGTTCACCAGAATACCCAATGCCATCACCAGACACATTCAAACTACAAACCAGGAAGTCGGCCAGAGCCACTGCCTGTCCTCACACCACCTGAAGATGCTCTGAGTTCAATGTCTAGAAATATTCTTTTTTTTTTTTTTTTTTTTTTTTTTTTTTTNCACTGATTTAATCAAATCCACTAAACAGAATCCTATATTCTTGGAAATGTTTATTCTCTTTTCAAAGTATTCTGAAGAGTTACATTCAGAATATAAAATTTTTAAATAAGTTTTCACCATTTTAAATGTTTCACTCACTCAAGACTTTTTCACCTCATGTGAATTTCATGCTAAAGATTAAAAATCTAGAGTATTTTCTGAATAGAAACATCATTTTTTTAGTACTCTTAAAAAAGATTTCATTCAGTTTTATGTAAGCGTCAATAGTTTCAATCATCACCAAACTGACAGCAAAAAGTCACTGGATGTACGGTTATCTAACCTCTACAGCTGTATTCTCATACTCTGAAATGAAAGACAGAAAATAAAGTGTGTGTATAGGCAAAAAAAGCTGGATTATTCATCACTATATATGTCTATTCTTTAAAATCTGATTTCATGGTAGAATTCTTTCATCATATCCATAAAACAGATACACACACTGAAAAAAAATACATTTTTAAAAAGTGGTTAATACTTTTTTATGTTGTTTTTGCAAAGGTAAATAGTTTAAATACCTGCCTACTTCTGAGAGCAGTTAAGTCTGAAGTTAAATGGTGTATTTCATAAAACTCTAACACTATTTCTAGAAACAGCTCCTTAGTGACCAATTAACCCATTTCCATACATCTGTGGTAATCTCAGTCAGATATGTTGAACTATCTCTAAGCCTGGACTTTCTCATCTTAATGAAGATGAATGGTGTATCAAAGAACACATAACTACACAAAATTTCTTAAGGTCATCTACTGAAACAGCAAAGGCCCTTTATCAATGTTGCACTCCGTTTTGAAGTCACCTGTATAAAACTCCCTTTGGGCTTTTCCACAGAATCATGACAATGAGGACAACAAGGTAAAGGAAGAGTAATCGGCGATGACAAGCACTATCGAAGCATGTACAGTAAGTCTTCACTTAACATAATTTATAGGTTCTGAGACTTCAAATGAAACAACATCTAATGAAACCAATTTTACCACAGGCAAACTGATATAAGCAAGAATTAAGTTCCTACAACATCTCATGAATGTTATAATGAAATGATGCTGAAAAAAAACATGTTATTCCAGGACCTGCTATATTTGTGCTCCATACTGTACTAGGCACTTCCTGTGTGCTATCTCATTTACTCCTAACAATTCTATAACACTATTCCCATTTTATAACTGTGAAGTCTGAGGCTCAGAGAGGATAAATGCCCAAAAATTTACAAGAATTAGACAGCAAAGACTATGAACCCAGACATTTCTGCTACCTCCTCCTACAGTATCTTGAAAAAATATTGGTAAAACTCCTTACAACTATCTTTCTTTGGCCTGGTCAATTAATTTTTGGAAAACAAAAGAAATAACTTATAAGTGAAACTAAATAAGCCAATTGTTTACCAAGTAAGAAGGAACGTTTCTTTCTTTTTTTTTTTTTTAAGCTGAGCCATCCTGCCACCTGTTGGCAGCTCAGCGGCTGCTCAGCTCGGGCTGGACCTGAACCGCTGTTGCTCAGAGCTCAAACTCCTGAGCGAGCTCTTAACCAACTGAGCCACTCGGCCGGCCCTCTAGAAATATTCTTGACTGATCATTGTGTGGACTAAAAAAACTGAGTTTAAACTTGTTCTAACCATTAACCTTGTTTTTCCTATATTTTCAGTGTCAATTCTAAACCTATGAATTTTTTTAAGGTAGTACACTAGGTCTTTCTATGCTCTCAAGAATAATATCAGACATTATCTCTGAATAAAAACCACTTCTGTTTATCTTTTTATAAACCTGACACATGTGGTAAACCTTTCTATGTACCTGCCTACATTACTCTAATTATATCTAATCCAAAACAAAACATTCCTGTTTGACCAATTCCCAAGGTAAGTCCATTTTATATTTCAGAAGATAAAACATATACATTAACCTAATGCTACCTCTTTTATCCCAAACAAGCTACACCTTTATTTTTACTATGAACAGATAATTAAGTTTTAAGATAACCAATACTTTGACTATGATGATACTTAAAGCATCCCTGCATGTATTTAGGGATGCTTGTTATTCTTTCTTTGCTTCTTATTGACTTTGAGTATTACAGTATTCATTGACATAATAAGAAAGATCTATAGCTTCTTAATATGAAATCAAAATATCACCTGTCAGTCAGTCAATCAATCCCTATGTCTTATAAGCTTTCAGAACTTGATGTAAAAACCGATTCCTCATCCCAGACTCCCATATGTGCACCTGACACATATGACATGTTTTAAATACCACCAGAAAGTCTCTATTAATGCACTTCAACATTTGGGAAGGCTAAGATTCAGAAAGAGCAAGGTAGCTTTTCTGAATATTAATACATTTCATCAAAAGTTTTCTACGCCTTTAAATACAGAAATTAACTCAAATCAGCTATAATTCTATTTTAAAATTTGGCTGCTGTGGTATAATATGTATATATTAAATAGTCACCTACATGGATTTTAAATAGATTTTTACATGGATCTTTTAGAAAGACACATACACATGCATAACTCCCATGCAAATTGTCCTCGCATTGTTTTGCTTTGTAAGGGGGCCTGTTTATAGACATCTCAGTATCTGCAAGTAATGGATATTGCTTTATTTTTAAAACCTACCAATTTTTAAGGTCCTCCCCCCAAAAAATTAAAATAGCATACAATGCATGAAAATAACGGTTCTTCAGTACAATTTATATCATTTTGATCCATTTAACAATGAAATAAAATTCAACATCTACAAAAGGTCATTCAACCCTAGGTATCCTGTTAGGAACCATGAAAAAATCCACTTCATTTACTTCAAGACAAACACTATTCTGCATCCATTAGGATGCCACTAACCCAAGGATCCATGCCAATAAGTCATGATAAACCAGCAGATCTTATACTTACCTGCTAGGTTTCTAAACCAATTTCTACTCATTTATGGGGACTGTCAGTAATTACAACAGCAACGTACTTTATCTCATACTACTAAATGTGCACTGCCTGAAACCATTCTCAAAAAGTATGATCTCATGCACACATTATATAGTTTGTACAGCACTTTCATTTGCATTATTCTTAATTCTCATCCTTCTGTTAACCAATCAAAATTTATACAATAGATCACACCAATGACTCTTAGTCATATGGTGACTCACCCACACCTCGGTAATGACCTTGGACATCAGACTTGCAGATATCTCATTACAACAGCCCAGCCTTGAATCATCATCAAAGAACACAGAGATGAACGAGGAAAAAAATATGAACGAGGAAAAAATATATAAATTTAAAAATTTATAAGCTACCAGTAAACAAGTATTTATTATTATTCATTATAAATTTATTGTGTCTTAAGCATTTGTTAAAATTTGTCTCACATGAGTATGCTGACTGGTTCATAAATAAGACAGATAATTTGCCCTTTAAGTTAATCTGTGTTACAGATTCTATATTTAGGTTAATCTGTGTTACAGATATAGAATCAGGTTCTATATGTATCTGTTACATATTCTATATCTGTAACACAGATTAAGCTAAACACATACAAGTAACATAGGTATAGCATAAATACTGAATACAACATAAATCTAATAAATTAATAATCTAATAAATCTAATAATCTAATAAAATTATACTTAAGTATAAATAAAAGATCTAAAGATTTAATATGATGGCCAGTGAGAAATCCATTATAAAAACTGAAAAATCAGACAGAAAGTTTTCAGGAAGCAACTGCCACTTCTCTTCCAGTAAGATTAGAAAGGTTTTGTGTCAGCTGATGCATAAAGATCAGAGCAGAAATTAAAGAGCCCGATAAGGAAGAGGATTAGCTACTTCTTTCATAAGAAGGACAAGTTGAAGAACAAAGGATACAAGCAGAAAAACAGCAAGAAACAAGAGGGATAATTATTGTCAAGGATGATAGAGTGATGGGATTTGGGGAGGGGACTAATTTTGTATTCACCTGTGGGCTGTAAAATTCAGTTCCTGTGGTTGGCAGAGAAGAAAAAAAAATCACCTAGAGAAGGCTGCACTGGCTCAGTAGAATTTAAATACTGTTTATGCCAAAGTCCAACTAAAAGAACTAGAATAAAAGTTCTATAGTGATACATGCCAGGTGAATTTATGAAACAGTCAAGAGGGAAGTGCCAGGTTTTGTCAAAAGCCTGGAAATCCATGGAGAGACAGCAAATAGTGAAGAGACATACATACATACATACATACATACATACATACATACATACATACGTACATAATGCTTTCTTCCTGGAGATGTGACTGATACAACAGGCATTCCTCAAAATATATAGACGACAATAAGAGGCAGGTTTTGAAGTGACATTCTGTAGCTTTATTTTTTTTTTAATTTATTGTTAAGTTGGTGATAAGTTATCCTGCCCGAGTCCCCTTTGCCTTCTGAAAGAATGAATACATAAAGACTTATGAGTGCCAACAATGTGATGTGTGCTAGACAGATAGAAATGAAATCATAAAGTCATCCTAGAAGCAGAAATAATTATTACCATTTTATTAATGATGTAGAAGTAAACAAGAGGAAAATCCCTTTAATTCAAACTAAATGGAAAACCATCTTGATTACTGAGAGTTATGAGTTAGAGAAGACATATCATAACCAGAACTAAACTAATTTAAACTTTGTCTCATATGACTCCTTAGATTTAAACGATTAAATAAATAAGAATGACTGTAATTCAGTAAGTGGTATTTTTTTGAGGGTGTGAAATTCACTAGCTCTCTTAAATCATCATTCTACTCAGGATATATTATTACTTTGTTTGGTTAAACCTGAGTTGTGCACTAGTAACCAATGTTTTGAATTTCTCACAGGGCCTTTGGCATCTGGTTCTGTTTTCCTGACTGATTTAATGTCTAAACATCTAGGACTTTATACAGTTGGGTTTGCTATAGGAGCATTGACCCCAAGTAGGAAATGTCATTGTATCCAGTTTGACCATTTGGCATACAGTATATCTCTCCAAATCAACGACTCATTTTATTATCCCACATTCATTGTTCCACTCGTGTTCATCCCTCCTCATTCTTGTGTTATATTTTAAACCTAACTGAAACACCTTAGCATTTCTTTTAATGTTTGTAGATACCCACAGGTTTCACTTTAAGATGGCTAACCCATTGCCACAGTTTATTAAATACAGTAAAGCAAAGTATTTGAAATGTTGACTCACTAAAATCAAGAATGGATAAGTCTAATTTCCCTTATCAATATGCTTTTGATGGTTTTCTTCTTCTCCCATAATGCCTCAACAAACAATGAAAAGTTTACAACTGTAGCGTAGTATAATTCCCCATCGATTCCAAACACAGTGGAAAGGTTTCAAGCTGTGTGAAATGAGTAAACTCCTATTAGTTAGCACTAAAAGGAAATAATCAACAGATTAAAGCCACTGATGTAGCTAATTCTACAAAATCATTAGTTTTGCATTATAACTACTTCCTTTTTAGTGATGGAAATTTAACTGGATGGAAAAATTAACCCAAAGTGTAGGCAACTGGTAGTAAGAAAACACAGGTGACTTAACCAGGAAGAATCATGCCAACCATAAAACTAAGCAGACTATTCATCACCATGGTAATAGCTCTTAAAACAGACACAGAAACCAATTCATAGATTCCATTTTCAAACCAGGGAGTGATCTGGGGGTGCATGTATGTATATAATTTACACAGTGTCCAGTGCCAAACTAGTAACAGTCCAAGAGATGAAGCTTTAAGTAACCACAACACTGGCCCTTTTAAAAACAAGATTGATTCCTGAGGCATGGAAAGGTAATCTGTTCCTCAGGACAAAGAACCTTAGAGGATGTTACAAAAACACAGCGACAATAATCAGGAACATTCTCCTGGGTGCTGAGTCATTAATTGAATTTGAAAGGTCAGGCATTACTCCTAACACAACTGTATCTACCTGAGAAGAGCTCATACCTTTTGCATGAAAACACAAGTCCCATGCTAATGCTTTGTGACTTACTTTGAATGCGAGAGAACAATACATATCTAAGATTATGAATACCCTCACTGAAAGTGATCATTTCAGAGATACGATTTCCAAAAATATTTGAAACACATTATATTTTAATACCAAGCTTTGGTAGCAAAATATTCAAATCAATAAAAATGTGCTACAAGACACAATTAATAAAAAGACAAGGCACAGACTGGAATATATACCAATCATATTTCTTTCGACAATTCTTTCAAGGCAAGTGTAGAGCTGACAAATTCACAGTTGTGCTGTGGTTGTTTTATCTGAGAAAGTTTATTTCTCCTTCAGTTTTGAAGGATAATTATGCGGGATACAGCATTCTAGGTTGGTGGTTTTGGTTTTCTCACACTTTAAGTATTTCACGCTATGCTCTTTTCTTGCTTGTATGGTTTCTGAAGAGAAGACCAACGTAATTCCTCTATAGATAAGAGGTGTTGGTGCTTTAAACCACTATTAGAATGAAAGCTCAGCCTTTCCGTTTAGCACTTGATGCCATACTGCCTGCTTAATTTAACCAATGTTTATTCCAAGCACTGAGCTAGGGTCTTTAGATGAACTGAAAAATAAAGATTCAATAAGATACATTGGAACTAGACTGCTTCTGTGAGTTGGGCGCTTAGAAACTAAGCGGCTTTGAGAGAGAGAATTCTAATTTGAAAATGAAACTGAACTTTTTTGAGGGTAGGGACCTTATCTTTACTTTGGCCTACTACTACTCAACCATCTCTACATTTGCTTTCTAAGTTACTAAGGAAAATTACCATATTTTGCCATGTATAATGCACACCTTTTTGCCCAAATTTGTGAGGGAAAAATAAGGAAGCGCATTATACATGGGTAGTACTAATTCCATATCTATATAAATGTTTTTAATTCTTTAATTTATGCTTGTGAGTTAAAAGTGTAACTCTAGAAATAACAATATCCGTATGCAAAATAATATCCTGGAATACGATAATTGGTTTTGTTGAACAAATGAAGAGTGAACAGCGCAACATTTTTCTTCACACACTTAGGTAGGAGCTAGCAAACTAGCTGATATCTTTACTAAAATTTTTGTAAAATCCTTTGGAAAATTAAAATGAAAATTTTTTTCCCTAAAAGTTTGGGCCAAGAACGTGGGTGTACATTATACATGGGAGCACATTATACATGGCAAACTACGGTACAAACTTGACAACTAGGCACACTATAAATTTATTTCAGTATCAGTATCAACACTTCATTTCTTGTTGGTTCTATAACGTAAAAGTCTAATAACATATTCCGCATAATAACCATGTTCTCAAGTTATAATACAGACCCTTTTTCCTAAACTCCTCCTCAAAAAATAATTATCCCTCCCATAAACTAAAAAAAAAAAAAGAGATGAACTTCATGACCTTCATGACCTCACTTATCTCCATATAAATAAGAAACTCTTCAATAGCACAAAAGGTCTATTAGATGTTGAATATTGCCTTAAAAATGGATTCACATATGACAAGCCTCCATATAATATTTAGAATATCCCATTTTCTCATTTCAGAAATGCATTTCATGCAAAAATTTCAGTCAGCCATATATCTTAAAGTATTTTAAAAGTGTGTCTTTATATGATACAGAAATAAATCCTTTTTGAATAGAATAATCAAAATGTTCTGGGCAACTGTTATCCAAGTTTTTCCACTGATTTAATCAAATCCACTAAACAGAATCCTATATTCTTGGAAATGTTTATTCTCTTTTCAAAGTATTCTGAAGAGTTACATTCAGAATATAAAATTTTTAAATAAGTTTTCACCATTTTAAATGTTTCACTCACTCAAGACTTTTTCACCTCATGTGAATTTCATGCTAAAGATTAAAAATCTAGAGTATTTTCTGAATAGAAACATCATTTTTTTAGTACTCTTAAAAAAGATTTCATTCAGTTTTATGTAAGCGTCAATAGTTTCAATCATCACCAAACTGACAGCAAAAAGTCACTGGATGTACGGTTATCTAACCTCTACAGCTGTATTCTCATACTCTGAAATGAAAGACAGAAAATAAAGTGTGTGTATAGGCAAAAAAAGCTGGATTATTCATCACTATATATGTCTATTCTTTAAAATCTGATTTCATGGTAGAATTCTTTCATCATATCCATAAAACAGATACACACACTGAAAAAAAATACATTTTTAAAAAGTGGTTAATACTTTTTTATGTTGTTTTTGCAAAGGTAAATAGTTTAAATACCTGCCTACTTCTGAGAGCAGTTAAGTCTGAAGTTAAATGGTGTATTTCATAAAACTCTAACACTATTTCTAGAAACAGCTCCTTAGTGACCAATTAACCCATTTCCATACATCTGTGGTAATCTCAGTCAGATATGTTGAACTATCTCTAAGCCTGGACTTTCTCATCTTAATGAAGATGAATGGTGTATCAAAGAACACATAACTACACAAAATTTCTTAAGGTCATCTACTGAAACAGCAAAGGCCCTTTATCAATGTTGCACTCCGTTTTGAAGTCACCTGTATAAAACTCCCTTTGGGCTTTTCCACAGAATCATGACAATGAGGACAACAAGGTAAAGGAAGAGTAATCGGCGATGACAAGCACTATCGAAGCATGTACAGTAAGTCTTCACTTAACATAATTTATAGGTTCTGAGACTTCAAATGAAACAACATCTAATGAAACCAATTTTACCACAGGCAAACTGATATAAGCAAGAATTAAGTTCCTACAACATCTCATGAATGTTATAATGAAATGATGCTGAAAAAAAACATGTTATTCCAGGACCTGCTATATTTGTGCTCCATACTGTACTAGGCACTTCCTGTGTGCTATCTCATTTACTCCTAACAATTCTATAACACTATTCCCATTTTATAACTGTGAAGTCTGAGGCTCAGAGAGGATAAATGCCCAAAAATTTACAAGAATTAGACAGCAAAGACTATGAACCCAGACATTTCTGCTACCTCCTCCTACAGTATCTTGAAAAAATATTGGTAAAACTCCTTACAACTATCTTTCTTTGGCCTGGTCAATTAATTTTTGGAAAACAAAAGAAATAACTTATAAGTGAAACTAAATAAGCCAATTGTTTACCAAGTAAGAAGGAACGTTTCTTTCTTTTTTTTTTTTTTAAGCTGAGCCATCCTGCCACCTGTTGGCAGCTCAGTGGCAGCTCAGCTCGGGCCGGGAATTGAACTGGCAACCCTGTTGCTCATAGTTTGCACTCTTGAGCGAGCTCTTAACCAACTGAGCCACTCTGCCGGCAGAGAAGCAACATTTCTTAAAGATACAAAAGAATATAATTTGCAATTGTATAAAGAGAACAAAAAAGTAGTAGCCAGATGACTCAGCCAAGCAATAAATCAGAGGTTAGAGTGGCAGCCAGAGAATTAAAACTGTTGAGGTAGGTCTGGAGTTTAAAGGACAGGTCACTAATCATCATGAAAGGCCCTGAACACAACCTTCTCAGTCACTTAGCAGGGAACTGAAGAACGAATAAGTAAATTGTGTGAGGAAAATAGAACATTTTCCTCTAGGCTAAGACACAGATAGCAGCTGCAACATTAGACAGAAGATGGCCAAATCATGTAGCTACAGAGTAACGACCACCACACTAGAATCAGTTAACACCTAACCAAGGGTATATACATGAAAATAGAAATTGTACTACCATCTAACCAGTATTTCTTTTTGAAGATATAGGTAAATAGTCTCAAAACATAGTTACTGGAAAGAAATACAGTAACCACATTTGGTAAATACTATCCTGGCACCTTTACAAAGCCTAGGTATACATTTTGGGGGACCAAGAATAAGAGGATATGTAAGAAAAAACCTCAGTCCAAAAAGAGATAAGATGATGACTATACTTGGTGGGTTGATGAACAAAAGGAGAAATAATGAAAAATTAAAAAGAAAACCAATCAGCCAAACAAAAAAACTGATGGAGTCAGGACAAACACCAGTTCAGTTTCACTAAGCCTTACACCGCATACTCCATGACGTTCAGACGAACAGGGGAAACTCCAGGGAAGGGAAAAATCAAAACGAGACTTTTTTTTTTTTTTATCCACAGAAAGAATGTAAAATTTTGAATGTAAAAATACTGAAAACAATGGAAACAGGTCTTTAATGGAAACTACATGTTTAGTAATCCATAGATTAATAATTCTTTCAAATGTTTCCTAGTAAGTAAAGAAAACTGTAGTTCTAGAAACTCCAATGCTTTCAAGACCATCTAACTGGTTTTGCTTTCTTTCTCCACCACTTCTGCCTCTTATTGTCCTCTTCTCTTCCTTTTGTGCTAGCAGGTTTTTTCAGAAACAATATATAAGATGGCTCTGCCTTACTACCTACTATGCCAGGGACATGATGCTACAATTGCATTCAAAATTTTCACACTTAAAAAGATTCTCTGCATCTAACAGTTCATTTCCATTGAATGCCCTGTGACAGTTCACAATATTAATACTTCCACCTTACATTTTTCTTAATAAAACACTTCCATGTCCATGATCTCAATTTAGTCTTACAACATGTAATCTGAAAGGTAAGCAGAGCCAAAAGCCATATCATTCCCAGTTTTAAAAGAAACAAATTGACACAGAGAAGTAACCAGGCACCTGCAGCAGAGCCGGTGTTGGGGGAAAGCGCCTGTGTGCCAGGGTTCTCATCACCACTCCACACTAACAGCATTTCACGGATAATCGTTATGTTTCTCTGAGTACATGCAAATGAAAAAATTCTTTAAGAAACAGCAGACTGCTTTACATACACTAATTTTTCTACAAATGGACTCACCTCCAAAATGAAAATATGCTCTAATTCTTCTGTTTCTACTTCAGTCCAATGAGAGCTGTATTAAAAGTGACCTGCAAAAAAAAAATAAATGAATAGAAGTAAAATATCATTCATTTTGAAGCACCATATGAAAGCTGTAGTTGCTTTTGCTTAATGTTCTCTTTTACTTATATTTTTGTTCTGTTTTTATCTAGATCCAAAATTATATGGATGGAAATGATAAAGAGAAAAAGAGAGCATAAAGGATCAAATATTGTGGTAGGAATGTTAACACACTGTCTGATTTAATCCTTGTAATACCTTGGAAGTTTTGAACAAACTAAGATTCTAAGACAAACTAGGATGTGAATCCACATCTAACCCAAAATCCCTCAAAGGTACTTTATTTTATCTTTTTTACATTTTTCTAGCATTTTACAATCTATAAATTGAATAGGCATATTCAATTATTTCCTATATGTAGTTGGACTTCCTATATTCAGCTCAAGGCCTATAAATAAACATAGTAACCAAGGTATTTAAAATACAGACCTATACTCAAAGTGCATGTTATTAAATGACCTGTATCTGTAGAACTTAAAATGCTATAAAATACATTTTAAATATGTGCCCATCCATTAGGTGTTTAAAGAACCCATCCAAATGTATGAATATTTTTTAAAAGCTAAGATAGAGAAAAATGTCAATAATAAGACAAGGACAGAGTTTGTGTTTTAAATCAAACACTACCACTAATACCATATAATTTTGTAAAACTGCAATAATTAACATACTGACTTCTCTGTCACATAAGTCGAACAGCAATGAAAATGGACTTTGGAGTAGGAGAGGTCTGAATTTGAATCCCAACTCTATAAGTTAACACTGGAAATACTGAATATCAGCATTTCCTTCTTCAGTTCAGATCTGAATATAGTAAAATCTCACTTGCCAAAAGGCCACACATTAACCTTGGTAATGTCATAAAGTAAATTAAAAAGTTATATGGCTAGTTAAAATAGATGCCATATAGTCTATGTGCTAAACTTGTGTATTTTACTCTGAGAAGATGCGTTCAAGCTCAGTTTAGATCTTTTTTAATGTTATTTTTTTTAAAGTTCTAATAAAGTGGGTAATCAATTCACAGCAGAAGACCTGGTCAGAAGCATTAAATTCGAATTTGGGGAGCTAGGGCTGATAGACATAGTAGAAAGAAATGATAGCAAAAAGAAATTGGTAAGTTATAACAAGAGAAAAATAAGACATAAGGTGAAAAGAAAAAATGTATAAGCCATCCTGAGGATATTTGATAAAACCAAATAACCATGTATATATCAATAGCCTCCAATGATACACTATATTACAACCCAAATAAATAGTATGCATAGTGATGAATTATATTCTGTTTAAGAAAGCTCGAAAGTGTTTGATGCTTATAAAAAATTACTGTAATATTGGGTTGTCGGAAAAGTCATTACATATTTTGTCTATGTTTTTCAAAGGTCATTTATTTATATAAACAACAAAGATCAAGCAATAACATATTACCCGTTTTATTTGATAACCTTTGCCATCTTTCAGTGAGCTTCCTAATTCCTCATTTGTAGAAGGATCTATCTTTATTTGTGAAAAACTGACCACAGTGCTGATTTACAGCCTCATCTGAATTGAACGTTATACCATGCAAGGAGTTTTGAAGAGAGCGAAACAAGTGGAAGTCTGACGGCGCAAGGTCAGGCAAGTATGGTGGGTGTGGCAACACATCCCATCCAAGCTCCAATAATTTCTGATGGGTGATCAAACTTGTGTGTGGTCTCGCATTGTCACAATGGAACACAACTCCTTTACAATGAACAAGCTCTGGACGTTTCTAGATGATGGATTCATTCAAACTGTCCAACTGCCAACAGTACACATTCAAATTGATTGTTTGGTTCCTTGGTAGGAGCTCGAAAAACACAACACCTTTAAAATCCCACCACACTGAGAGCATAACCTTTCTCTGATGAATGTCTGCTTTCGATGTCATTTGAGGCGAATCATCACTTCGGGACCAAGACCATTCACGCACCACATTGTTGTAAACAATCCACTTCTCATCACCAGTTATCAGTCACTTCAAAAAAGGATTGTTTTCCTCACATTTAATGAGCATATTGCAGATGTTTATACGCGCTGTCAAATGAACTTCAAGTTCATGTGGAACCCAAATATCGAGCTTGTTTACGTATCCCAGCTTCTTCAGGTGGTCATGAACACTTGAATGATGGATGTTCAATGTTTCTGCAATCTCTCGTGTGTGTAATGTGGGTTTGATTCAATCAATACCTTTATTTTGTCATCATCAACCTCAGTAGGCCTCCCTGACCAAGGAACATCGTTGAGATAAAAATCACCAGAATAGAATTTCGTGAACCATCATTGGCACTGATGTTCTTGTAGAGCACTGTCACCATAAACTTTATGTAACTTTTCACAAACTTGCTGTGCGTTCTTCCCTTTATGAAGTAAAACAGTAAAATAGGCAAAAATGCATGCACAGTTTGGTCTTCCATCTTCAACTTGTGAAATCTCCAAAACTCAACCAAATCGCTCAATTTTTTTTATAATGAAGCTAGAACTGTCAGCTGTCAAATGACATGGCAATAACATAGATGCGAATGACTCTAATACTTCCAAAAATGAACTAGTGCCATCTATCGCAAACATGTGTCATGACTTTTCCGACAATCCCATAGATTAAAAATAAATTTTTTAAAATCCTAATATTTAAAGGATTATACTTTAACTCATGTAGTAGACAGCTAGGATATTCACTTGTTTGTGAATTTGTCAAGTTATGTTATTATACTAGGCAAACTCAACAAATGAGATCTTAATATAGTTAATGAAGCAAATGTTAGGGGTTTAAGTCTCATAACTAATACCAAGGACTATATTATAAAGTATAAAGTCTCTCCCCTCAAAAGCTCACAGTTCAATAGAAAACACCACAGTATATCTAAATAAAATTTAATAGTATTTAGTTATAAAAAGCAAGAAACATATAATATTTGGTTATCTCTTTTTTTGTGCTGTTACCAGCTGCTGATGTACAATGCTTAGACACTTTAATTCAGTAGAGGTTAAAAATGTGATTTTAAGAAGTCTAGAACATATGAAATGGATGAGAAAAAAAATATCAGAAGACTCTGGGACATGGATAAAACCAAGCATCAGAAGTTCCCGCCCTCCTTCTTTCTGCTATAAGAGCAAAGACAAATAACGATAAAGCAACAGTTAACATTTATTGAGAGCTTCCTATGTGCCAGGGTCTGTTCTAAGTGTCTAACGTCTATGAACTCATTCAGTCCTCAACAACTCTACTAGAGGCTCTATTATTATCCTGATTAACAGATGAGAAAACTGGGGCACAGAGACAGTACGTAACGCACCAAAGTTGCACTGGTTTAAGTGAAGAACCAAAGTTCTAATACAGGAAGCCTGGCTTCAGAGCCCATGCTTTTCACCGCTGTACTCCTAAGGATTAACTAAATGCCCAGCAACGTTACTGTCTTATAGAAGGTATATGCCTCTCAAAGCTGTTTTTAAAAGCTATTATCATTAAAAACTTTCCACATTCCAAAACAAATTATTTTCCATTTTTGCTAGTTTATCAATACATGTTTAGGATTTGGCTCTATAACTATTGTATATTCTCCAGGTGCTTTTTGTAAATACTTCAAAATTTCCCCAATTATTTATACCATTAAAAACTCAGAAACTGAAAAAGAATCAAGCATTTATCCAAACTTTTAAAACAAACTGTACAATTGCTAAACAAATTGTAGATTGAGGGGAAGTTTTTCTTTGTAAAGTAGTCCAGATAATAAATTGAGGTAAAATGACAATTAAAATGTCATACTTTGCAACTCCTAATGAATCAAAGTGTCTGGGCCTAACAGCTGCTAGCATCAAACAAAGAAAAACAACTACACATTATATGTCTCCTGATGGAAGAAGAAATACCACTCATAGTAGGCAGGAAATGAGGAGGATGGAGAGAGTGAAGGGAGGAAAAGAAAGAAGAGGAAGGGAGGGGGGAATGAAGAAGGAAGAAGAAGAATCTGAATTGATTAGGTCCCTAGAGCCTACCACTATATAAAAAATATGTAGGATGGAGGAACATGTTGAACACCACCCACAGAGGCATAATCAGCAATATCTAGCTGTGGGGAATTCTACGAGGCCAATAATCCAGTTTCTTCAACAAATAAATTACAAGGAGAAAAAAAAAAGGTGGAAGGGAATATCCATATATTAAAAGAGATATTAAAATACATATTAACCAATCATAAAGGGCTTTATCTGGACCCTGATTCAAACAAAATGTAAAAAGATTTTTATAACACCATTGGAAAATTGAACATTAACTGAATACTTAATAATATTAAAGGATTATTAACTTTTAGTTTCAGGTATAATCATTAAATTATGGTTATATCTTTCTAAAGGTGTTATTTTTTGGAATAACGTACTGAAATGTTTACAGATGAAATGGTATGACTGACATCAGCTTTGTTTCACAAGGGAGGAAAATGAGCAGACGAATGAAACAGAGTACCCAAGAGTTAATAACTATTAAAGCTAGACAATGGCTACATCACGGCTCATTATATTATTCTGTGTATTTTGTATATCTGATATTTTCCACAATACAATTTTTTTAACCTGACAAATGTAGTACATCAAAAAATGGTACCTCAAATGTTATAAGTACTTTTAAGAACTTAAATTTTAACTTCATGTTACTACAGGAAAAAATGTTTTAACTAAATAATAATAACTAATGTCTCAACTAGTAGATATTTCTCTCCATTGCTTACCTCTAAAATGTTGTTTTATTTGTAAGTAACCTGGTCTCTTTATTAAGTACTGCTAATACAATGAAACTGGAAAAGTCATGACTGTTTACAAATATGAGCAAACTGCCAGACTTTAGTAAGTTTTAATTCCAAAGTTTTTGTTCACTTCAACTGGCACTAGGAAGACTCATGAGCTAAAATGGTAGCATAGATTTTGGGCTCAAATTCTTCAAGTTTGGATAATACAT